ATCATATATCACCCTCTCAGAGAGGTCCTTCCCTTTTCTCTGAACACCTTAATCTATATACCGCAACCCTTCCTGTTATATCACTTTCTTTTGTGTGTATCCTTCTTGCATCTGGAATTTCATTCCTTACGTATGTTGTTTACTGTCTGCAGAACGTCAGCTCTGTGGTCCTGTTCTTGTCATCTTTTCTTGGCACATAGTCTGTCTCAAGAAAAAGTTCGATAGAAGAAATCAATGGAGAAAACTGCTGCTTTCCTGATGAGGCCCTAGATTTTAACCCCTGGGGAAGAATTTATCATTGGTTGGTGTTGGTGGTGGGTACCTTCAGGATAAATGAGAAGAGTTTCATGAGAAAGGTATGTAAAAACATTTTTAAAGTCTTTTAGAGAAAGAGCTATAACCAGCCAACATTTTGGCCTTTGGTTTTTAGAATTATGAACTGCCACTTATTTATATTATTATTTTTGATCAACTGTTTCTTGCCCAAGCACTTGACGCTGGGTAATAGCACACAAGGGGATGAAATATTGTTTATGAGACATGTCTGGTTATTTGCACGGAACTACAAGTGAGTTGTTGGTAAATAGGAAGTTTGCAAAACAGAATGCAAACAAATAAGTAAAAAAGTACGATTTTATGTGGCGAGAGGTCACCGGTGCTAAGGGAGGGTGGGGTGGGGGGGTCCAGGGAAGAACTGAGACTAGTTGAGTGGAAACTGTTGCCTTAAAGGATGGGGCGGATTTACCAGGCAGGGAAGTAGGAGCAAGGAATGATCTTTGGGGCCAGGGAAAAAGCAGCAGGGGCACGGTGGCCTGGGTTGTTTTGGAGAATGTTGGCATCTGGCCAGTTTTGGACTGCTCAGGGGTTGCTGGAAGGAATCGTGGGCAGATAGACTGAGTTTTTCTGAGGAATTAGAATTTTAGCATGGTGGTCCCTCCTCCAGGGGTGCTGCCAGCCCCACACTTGGAACTGCTGATTTGAGCAAAAGAACTATTGTAGGAGGAGGTCAACTGGAATCTGTTTTGGTGATTTGGCCAAGAGAGTACCAGTAATAGGTGTTGGCAATGAGCTAAAAACAAGAAAACAAAGCAAAAGATATTTTAAAAACAAAATAGGCAAAACTCAACATCTTAACCAGCTGTTGCATATGGGAGAAAGTGGAATGTCTGATGACAAAGGTTTTAAGTTTTGAGAGACTAGTATAAGTAAGGTTGGAATTATCTATGTTAGTGCGTGAGATAAATCCATATTAGTCCAAAGCTTACTTTGTTCTTAGAAGCCGGAGAAATAATATTAATACAAGTCTCTGACTTTCCATGAATAGCTCTATCCTTATTTTTCTTCCCTAAAAGGAAAACAGCAATATTCTCTGCTGTGCCTGCTGTCTTTATACTTTACTAGTTCTACCCATTAACTCGAACCTCATTCAGAGATTAGCATGTGACTTAGAGAACTTCTTCCTAGGGCTTAGTGTCAGTGCACTTGAATCAACATCTCAGAAGTCACGATGTTTTCCAGTGTGCTTGGTGGGAGAAAAATAAAGCTCAAACCTTAGGATTTTAGTGGGTGCGCATGTTTGTGTCAAATAGAGTGTCTGATAATGGAGGACCGATAACTACCCGCATTTTTTTTTTTTACCTTATTCTCATGAAAGGCCGTTATCACATTGCCTTTAGGAAGAGCCCAGCTTTGGGTACCAGTCAGTTTTCAAAGGTGATTTACCAGCATGGTGTTTGTATGTTTATAGATGATAAAACACTTTGACAGGTTAAACTGCTATGGAGGATTGAAGGAGTTATTTTGTGTGTCTCTTTCAGAATGAGACTGTTTCTACCTAGGCACATCGGGTCCTTAAACAGCATAGACTTCGTAAATCTCACCATTGGACAGACAAATATTGACATTGTTATTCTTGGCTCTAAAATTGCTGTCTTGAGGATGGTAGCCGCCAGCCATCTGTAGATATTTACATTCAAATTTAAATTAATTAAAGTTACATAAAATTAAAAATGCAGTTCCTCCGTTGCATCGGCTGCAGATGAAGTACCCCGTAGCCACGTGTGTTGATTGACTAGTACGTGAGAAAGCTCAGACAGGGAGCATTTCCATCATCCCAGAAAGGACAGTGCTGGCAGTGGTATGGCAGAAGCTGATTGTTGTCATCCTGTGTATCTGAGTCGTGAATATTTGTTGCTAGGCTTTTGCCATCGGCCGTCTACACTCATCGCCCTCACCCCTGCCATATCCGTGGCCTGTGGTTGGAAATGTCATGGCCCTGTTGCCGAGCAGTGCTGTGTCCTTGTTCTGGCTGTGCCCTTACTGGGTACCCCACTGCGGGCAAGTTATTTAACCTTGCTAAGCCTGAGTCTTCTCAACTAAAAATGTGGGTAACAAGCCTAGTCTCATTGTAAGCATTAAAGGAGAATAATGCATGTTTTGTACTTGGCACGTGGTAAATGCTCAATAACTTTACTTAGTTGTGTTGTTATTATGTCTCTATCTTATGCAAACATAAGGATGTTGAGTAGTCTGCTTTCCTGGTAACATCACTCTATGCATTTTGAAATGTGTGCAGACAGAGCACAGGCGGAAGGTACGAGTGATCGTTAACCAGCGTTGCGCGATTAAAAACTCTTGTTGGATGGTATGAAACTTACACGTTGCATCATGAGTTCAGTTCCGTGAGCATTTATTGATCACTTACTATATATTGAGAACTTACAAGCTGTCATTACACAAGAGCTCTGTGGTATGAGGAGGAATTGCTGCCCTCAGGGCCTGTAATCTCACGGAGGGAGGGAGACAGGGATAAAGGATGAGTATACACACAACTGTGTAAGCAATGCGGTGGGCAGACGGTGAGGAGGGCTCTAGGAGACATACGCAGAGCAGGAGAGCTCTTGCTAGTCAAGAGAAAGAAAGGTTTGCATCCAGCTTAGGGGATAGGACAGCCCCATGGGGAAAACCGTAGCAGAGACAGGCCCTGAAGGATGCTGTGACATTTCACACTGTGCAGTGGGACTGGACAACGGTTCTTCCAGGAGGGGCGGGCGTGAGTGTGAATGGGGGTGTAAAAGCAGGAGTTGTGTTAAGAGGAGTTTACCCGAGCCCTTTGGCCCGTAGGAGATCGGTTCTCCAAGGGAAGTCTGAGTCACCTTGAAGAATGGCCCGAATGCCAGGCCCAGGTGTTGACCTAACTGAGTAGGCAGTGGGGAGCCATGGAAGGTTGTAAACTTTCTGCTTGGTTCCACAAGAGCTTTCAAAGAGAAGAATGCATTCCTTTGGCGGGGGAGGGAAGATAGGATGAATGGCTGTGTTTGATCTCATAAAGCAACTGAATTTGTTAAACGGCATTTCTTCGGCAGAGAAAAGAACAAAGTCAAGTACACAGGACGCTCCACAGGTGCGTGGCTGTGTACAGGCATGCACGCTGCCATTTTTCATTCGCACGGGGCCACTCTTGCATGCCTCCCTGGCAGGACACATACCTAAGGGAGGCCCCAGACGCAGACCAAGGTGGCTGAGCTGAGTACAATAGCAGAGGAGTACCTCTGGGCTTTTTCTTTTTTAAAAGTAGGATGCAGAGGTTTAATGGAACACTTTTTGATCTTCACTTATCTTTATTTTATCCTGTTGCCACTTGCCTTTCATCAGCTTTTGAAAATTAATGTCAGGTTATTACTACAACTCAGTACCTAGATATGTACACATAGCTCAGTTTCTGAGCCACGTGCTATCTTTGTTACTCCACGACCTAAAACTGAAAGTGTTGCATTTTCTTCCTCTCATAGACTAGAGTCATTTATGTGCATGGCTATGTGGAAAACAACAAATTAATCAGTTTTAACACCTGATGAAGAAAAAGAGCGGCCATAAGTCACTTCGTCTTCCCTGAGGTCTCTCATGAACTGCAGAGTTAGCAGGACCGGCAGAACTATAGAATGTCAGTACATAGTTGCATCCTCATTTTCCAGTTCTAAAAATTACTGGCTTTTCACATTTCGATGATTTGAGATGGCGTGTTTCTGATAGTTTTTAGATATCCATTTTTGAGGACAAGTGTTTCATCCACGAAAAGTTGTTACATTGGAGGTGAATCTGCATATAACTAGAATTTTAGAATCAAGGGAATGAGGCACTTAGTATGATTTGCACCAAAACATCAGTGCCCAACCCATAGCTCAGCGTCCCTCGTGACGTCTTCTCTGGAGCTCAGAGGAAGACGGTGCCCACCTGTGCCCACCTTGGTGCTTACCTGTCTGGGGTACGTGGAATCTGCTGCCTGGGAAAGCTAGAGGCAGCTGGCCCGGTGGCCTGACCCACTCCAGGCCTTACCAGGTCACCAAAGAAATGGGACAAGTCCTAGAGTCACTACATCCATCAGCCTCTCAAGAACTGCCTTGGTCTCCTCACCTTGGATTTATTTCTCCAGACGCCATCTTGCCATCCCAAGTAGCGCTTCGCTGGAAAATGTCTAACAAGCCCTGATTTCTATTTTACTATGTTGTAAATCCTCCCACCGTGGTGTCGCTGAAGGAGAGTTAGGAAGAGTCCCTGGTCCCAGGGCCCCGTGATTCAGTTGGTTGATTCACTGTTGGTCAGTTCACTAACTGGTGATTTACGTCCCTATTGTCTCACAGCGCTCTCTTGACATTTCAGCTGTTAATGGCCTCCTCTGTTCGCCTGACCATAAAGTCACATCGGAATGAGTCTGCTCTGGCTTCAGTTTCCTGGAATTGTGCAGGTGGACAAAGAAAACCTTGCACGTCCCTTCCCAGGCCCAACTTTTGAAGGGGCGACGGCCTGGAAACTCACTGGCCTGTAACCCGATCATAACTCAGTCCTGAAAATGACAGCCTTTAATTCTGCAGGAGTAAAGGAGAGATGAGGACATGAGGCTAATGAGGAACATCTTCTGGACAAGGGAGATTTTAAGGTTTGCAAGTGAGATAGCAAAATGCCCACACAGTCTTGACCTTAAGTGCTTTCCGTACTTACAGGATTTGGCCCTGGAGGAGGCTGTTCTGGAGGAGCTGACCCAGAAGGTAGCCCAGGAACACAAAGCCCACAGGTAAGGCAGGTGGAGGGCAGCCTGGCCAGCAGCTGTCCGGTGTCCACGGGGCAGGAGGCATTTGTCTTCCTACCCCCGTTCCTGGCTCGAGTCCACACAGTTGTGTTTCTTCCACCATCTGACTCAGTTCTATACTTTGGAGACGGGTGTGTGTGACCTTGATCACTGCCCTCCCATCCGGGCAGCCTGTGCAGAGAGTGAAGACCTAAAGTGCTGCCTTGGGCGACAAAGTGGGAAAAGGAGGGAGACTTTGACTTAAGGAAGCACCGAGAGCTTTGATATCAGAGCCACTTCAGGCCGATTTGTACCAGTGGAAAACAGACACTTCCCTGTCCTACATCAGACGATCTTTGCAATGATCCCAGGCTCTCTTACACCGTGGCCACTTGACTCCCAAAAATATTGTCCTTGTATTATAAGAAACCTTTTCTTTTCTTTTTTTTTTTTTTTTTTTTAATTTTTCCTTTTTTTAAGTTGTGATTTCTCCCAGGTAGGAGCAAAATCACTTCATTTTAAAGCGGGCAGCATTATTCACAGGGTCGTCTGGGAGAATTATTTAGTCTTTATTGGGCCCTGGCTCTTAATTCAGTGCTTTACCTTCCTCGTATTATTCCCCGTTGAGTAAAAGGCAACTGGGGAAGATGTTAATGAATTACTTAGAAACACACTGTACCCTCACAGTTGGGCGATGATTGCTCTTCCCAGAAGCCAGCGCGAAACCACAGCCCTGGAATTTGCCATCGGCAGGGTAGGCGCTTCCGCTGGCTGTCCCTAACCATTTCCTCCTTTGATGCTATTTTGATTTTAGTGGAATCCTGCCAGCCGAAGCCGAGCTTATGTACATCAACGAAGTGGAACGTTTGGATGGGTTTGGACAGGAAATCTTCCCTGTGAAGGTAACGTGCTGTGCCCCGTCCTTGCTTTTAGCCTTCTCAGAACGGCACGGGCATTTGGAAAACCAGTCTTGATAGCAGCGGGCCAGAATGGCTTGGCCTTCTTATTGCTACGTGCCATTAGTTGGCAAGTCCAATTTACTTTAGGGAAAACAAATGCTTTCTCTTAACTACGAAATCTTGAAGCTTTCCATGGTCTTCAGCAGTGTAGCTCGTTCTAAGACCACCATCTAAGCGAGTACCTTGCACCAGCCCATTCAGCGCCATGGAGGTATCAAGGCTCGGATCCAGTCGCACAGCAGGACAAGTAGCTAAAGCCTTATGTGCGTTAATCAAGACTCTAGCCAGTAGTTTTCCTCCCCTTGCTTATTCTCTTTTCTCTTCATTGAGCTGATACAGGGATAATTATTTGTGAGGTAGAATGAAACATTTCTTGCCTGCAGTTATATTTTATTTCTCCAGCTCTGTAGGGCCCTCCACGGTGGTTTTCCAGTCCCTTTGGTGTTTTTGCAAGAAACTATGCCTGGGACACCGTTATAGCATATCACATCCTTTGCACCAACTCCACCTCCTGAAGTAGGTGTGGTTGGGAAGGGTGGGTCATGGCTCATGGTCATTTATAGAGCTGAGCCCATAATGCAAACTCGTTTTCTGTTCTCCGATGACCAACTTTACAAAAAATGGAGTTTTGTCAGAAACCTAAAGCAAATGGCACATTTCAGCGATATGGGAGACGCCTGCAATTTCGACGCAAACATTTCACTCCAGACTAGCTCCACTGGCTGTTTTATAAGTGTTCGGTTCCCCCTCTGTTGCACGTCTGCAATTTGCCTTAATGAGAACTGCCCATGTGCATCAAGGAGAAGCGAGCAGGGTGGCCGCAGCTTGCAAAAAGGGCTAAATGGCTCTTTTTTAGATTTGTTTAATTTTCTTTTGCTTCTCTAATGGCTGCCCTTCATAGGGTTGTAATCCATTTTCCTTGCAATAATGCCTTATGAAGCCATCTGCATCCCACTTACATTTCAGCAGCCCATATATAGTCATGATATTTTGGGTCATTGAAAAATCAGAGTAAACTTTTCTCCACTTCTAGAAAACTGACTTCTCTATCCCTGGAAGTTGGGGATTTTGTTGTGGTGGCGATTTGTTTATGTTGTTTTTAGTATTTCTGAACTATGGGAAATTGGAGCAATTGTGAGGGAATGCTGAAATCTGCTATGCTTGGTTCTGATGTACTTTTTAGGATGTTCTAGTGGGACCAAGGGGAATATTATACCTTCCTCTGAGTGGGAAGACAGGCGCTGCTGACTCATTGCTGGGAGGGTGTAGCTGAGCCATGCAGCTGGCTTTTTCCTCGTGTATCCGTTCATGACTCAGGTGGCCACCTACAGAGCACATGACGCCTGGCGACCCAAGGATGAGGGTGGGAGTGGCAGTACCAGTGGGGGTGGTGGCGTGATCAGCTCTGAGACAAGTGAAAAAGCAGACAGGAAAGTATGCAGGGAAAGTCCCTTTGGGTTGGTATGGGACGTTATTGATCAAATAAAGTGAAAGCTCTGATACACCCTGGGGAAGAACACTTCTATTTAGTGTGGGCTTTTCCATGAGTGGTTCTGCACAAATTTTCAAGACAAGAAGAATACCAATCCATTTCCTGGCAGGTGTGCCCTGCTACCCGAGTCATCCTGTATTGTCAGAGCACATGGATGTCGGGGAGGGTGCTTCCTGGATGAGTAAGACAGAGACTGGAACCTTGATCTGTTGCAAGATTGGACGTAGAGCCCTTAAGGTTTGACTAGTGCACTGTCCCTGGCATACTGGGTGGAGTGGCAACCTGGAGCATCTCTTCTGTGTTTTTCCAACGCCCCACCCTAACAAACAACTTTCCCTGAATCCCCCATCACTATAGATCCACTGGCAAAGTGCCCAGGGAAGTTTTTCTGCAGCATTTTCCTTTCTCTTTCTATTGCCTGTGTTCTTTTCCCACGTTTAACTTCTGTAACTTACCTTTTCAATTTCTCCTATCCCTAAGACCATTCTCTTTGTCCTTATCCAGTTCTTTTGCTCTTAACACTCTTTCTGCTTTGCCACCAGCAGTGAATTTACCCTTTCTCTGTTTCTCTTTGAAGACTCCTCTTCTAATGTAAACTTTGTGGGTGGGTTGAGAAGAGGTCACTGAGAAGGGACTTAAGGTTTCCTAAATGGGGTCAAGTATTCTAGGGAATGGAGAAGTCCTTCCTTTCCATCTCAGTCCTAGTTGTGCCTGGCCCCCTCTTGCTTCAGGAAGAGAACCTCCCCCCCAGGGAAAACAGGACTTCACTCCAGGGACGAGTGATCAAACATCTGCTCAATGTTGGGTCTTGTTCCCACTCCACTCTCAGAACCTGGCAGCCAGCAGGTTATGCTGTCTGGGGCAGGAGATTGGAAGCACCTGACTCAACCAAGAGACCAGACTGAAGATAAAGTCATCTGGGATTCCCCAAAAGAGGTCCCTGCAGATCACCTGACAGTGACATCCCCAAACCTCTCCTGTGCTCACGAAGCTCCCAACCAGCGTTTAGCATCCCACCCTCGAATGTGAACTGCCCAGACTCCCTACCCAGTACCCCAGTAGGAATGACAGAGACCCCCACGATGAACACAAAGTGGCCTGGAAGGTGCAGAGACTCTGCAGGGAGAGCCACCTGCTTAAAATACCTTCCGAGGAGTCTCAGAAATTTAAAAAATTACCTCCTTAAAGGAATAAGTTGCTTATAAAAAGAGGACATTTAGAAAACGAAAAAAGAACTTTCAGAAATTAAATGTATGATAGCAGAAATGGAAAACGTAGTAGACAGGTTAGATAAAATCTCACCAGAAAAAAAACCTAAAGTAATGGGAAGAGGGGCAGGAGATGGACCCTGTTCAGGATGCCCAACGTCTGCATAATGGGAGTTGTAAACAGAGTGAACCAAGAAAACAGGAGGTAGTAATTTGAGAAAATATCCCCGCACTAAGGAACACGTGGTTCTCCACTGAAAGGGCCATGCACAGTGCCAATAAAGAGACACCTGCTAGGGCTTTAGGAGGTGCAAGTTGCTACCTTTGGGGAGAGGGGGAGGTGTGGCCGGGTCTGCTGTCGGCTCCCTTTAGGGAAGCCCTGAAGAATATCCAACTCTTCAAACCATGTGCATATGTAACTTTGATTTAAACAACAAAAACTTTGGTAAGGTAAAAAAAAGAATAATTTAATATTCATGAAAGAGAAAATCCAAATGGTCAACAGATCTCAGAAAATCCTAAAATTCATTTTTAAACTGGAAATATGTTGTGACAAATTGAGGAAAAAATGTGTATATATGTAAACAATTCATTAGGACGCACAGTGGGTGAGTTCTTTGAGATCCTGGCCCCCATGCAGCTGGTTGCCTCCTTGCCCTGAGGCTGTCTGTGATTCCTTCCACTTACAGTGAGAAACAGGGTAGGGTGAAGGCTGGGCGTGGTGGCTCACGCCTGTAATCCTAGCACTCTGGGAGGCCAAGGCAAGTGGATCGTTTGAGCTCTGGAGTTGGAGACCAGCCTGAGCAAAAGTGAGACCCCATCTCTACCAAAAATAGAAGTTAATTGGGCAGCTAAAAATATACAGAAAAAATTAGCCGGGCATGGTGGCGCGTGCCTGTAGTCCCAGCTACTCGGGAGGCTGAGGCAGAAGGATTGCTTGAGCCCAGGAGTTTGAGGTTGCTGTGAGCTAGGCTGATGCCACGGCACTCTAGCCTGGGCAACAAAGTGAGACTCTATCTCAAAAACAAACAAACAAAAAAAAACACCATTGGTGATCTCTTTCATCGCAAATATTTTTTTAAAAAAATCAGTTTTTTAATTGACAAAAATGCATATTTATGGTGTACAAAATGTTATGAAATACATATATAAATTGGGCTAAATAATATACGTATTATGCCACATACTTGGTTTGGTTTTATTTTTTTAGAGTGAGAACACTTAAAATTTACTCTTGGCGATTTTCAAGAATACATTGTTATTATCGTCACCATGATATACAATAGATTTCTTGAACTTATTCCTCCCAACGAGGCTTTGTGTCCTTTGACCATCATCTCCCCATTCTTCCCGCTCCCCAGCCCGCTGGTAACCACCATTATATTCTCCACCTCTACGAGTTCAGTTGTTTTAGATCCTACATATAAGTGAGACCACGTGGTGTTTGTCTTTCTGTGCCTGGCTTTATTTCACTTACAATGTTCACCGACTCCATCCATGCTGCGACAAATGACAGAATTCCTTTTCCTTTTTTAAGCCTGCATAGTATTCCATTGTGCACATAAACCACATTTTGTTTATCCATTCATCTGTGCTGGACACTTAGGTTGATTCCCTGTCTTGGCTATTGTGAATAGTGCTACAGCGAACGTGGGTCATCACAAGTATCTTTTGTTGATCTTATGCAGGACAATCATGGAAACAGTGTGCATCTTGGCATTTTCTTTATGGGGATTTTCGTGAGAAACAGAATTGGAAGACAAGCAGTAATATACAGGTAGTCTTATTTGCCTTTTTTTTTTTTCTTTTTCCTTTTTCCTCTTGAGGGACTCTAGAAAACCACGCTGAGCGTTAAGGTTACCCACATGAGTTAAGAGCCAGACCGTGGATCAGAGTTGAGCTCTTCTCAACTCGGATAAGGTCAGCCCTCTGCAGGATTTAAGAAGTTACGGAGAAATTCATCTCACTTTTCCTAGAGGCCTGATGGGAGAGAGGAAATCCTTTCTTCCCACCTGACTCCAGGAAATACATGTTGAACCCCACTGAGTCAGAAGAGTGGAACTAAACTCCATGAGTCTGGTTGGAAACCAGCTTTCCAGTCAGTCATTAAATCCAAATTGGCTTCTTTCCATTGTCTTGTACCCTCTGCCTAACCACACGCACGTGCCACGAGAGTGCAGACTAATTTTTATATTAACAAAAGATGATCATTTGAAAAAGTGTGTTTTGAAAACGCAATCACTTCATTATGATAAATTAGAGGGCTTTGATACTTTTTAATTCTTTTGACATTTTAACCTTCTACCAGGAGTAGTACTGGTGTAGGATGTGGAAGTCCCCCCCGCCCCCCGTTATGTGTCAACACGCTTGCTTTGCGTTGATGCCCATAGATTCCATCATCATGTCAGTGATCTGAAACACCGTGTGCCCGCTTTCATTTACAAGGGCAGTATGGCTCATTATTTATAGGAAAAGCTGTGCATCCAGGTCAGATGACCACAGGCAGCTCTCAGAGGCAAGCACGGCTCACCTTCTAGAAATGAATCTCGGCCAGCCATGTACTGTCTGGATCGGCAGTCACTGCGGGTCATTTTGAGATGGGTTTCCAACCAAAAGCTTCTTGGTTGGCCTTTACTTCCCTAGGTCCCCACCCTGCCATTATTTTTATGATTTTTTTTCCTTGCTCTTTGGCTAGAGACATTATGGAGCAGAGTGGAGACAGAGATCTTTGGGTCTATAGAATGAACTTTTTGACTTTTGGACGTGGTGTCAACTCCATGTACCTGCCACAGAGTGTAAATTAACTGAATAAAACATGTAAATGTGTGCAGAGTTGTAACTGTAAATCTTTATGTCCATTCAAAGTTATCCAGGCATTTTTGTCCATATAGTTAAATCGATGTTTCTCCTCGAGCCTACAGAAGAGAAGTAAACAAGTCTTAACCCTTTGTACTCGCTTGCTTTTTTCCCCTCAATTCCTTTATTCTACTTGGGATTTAATTTTTTAAATACCCCAGATTTTACAAAGCGGGGCAGTAGAATAAAAAACTGGAGTTTCTTTTCATACGAACTTATTTATTTGGATTTTTTTTATATTTCAAATTATTGATACATTTAAAGAATAATTTTAATCTCTATAATTTTTGCTAAACGTGTCAAGTCACACTCAACATCCGAGTGCAAAGGGTTAATACCAGCTATCGAGGTGAAATAGAAGAAGATAGCAATTTACAAGTTTGATGGGCATAAGCCTCTCACTGTTTTGCTCAGTTTTCTTAGGAGCTGCCTCCAGACCTTTTCATTTATCTTGAAACCCCCTACAAGATGGGAATTTACTTCTAGTGTCGTGTTCATTAGGCCACTGGGTGAAATCACCTTGTGGGGCACCGAGTGTATCTAAGGTTTTGGCAGTTGATTTTTGAAGGAATGGAGCCAGAGGAAACCAAATATCTCTTATCTAGAGACCTTCACTGAGGAGCATGTAGCCATGAGTCCTTGTAGATCTAATCTGGTAGAGCTGAAAGTTGGGCAGCTAGCCGGGTGGAGTGCATTGTACCAGCAGATGGTCTTAAAAACATCTGGGACACGGCTGGGCGCGGTGGCTCACGCCTGTAATCCTAGCACTCTGGGAGGCCAAGGCGGGCGGATTGCTGGAGGTCAGGAGTTCAAAACCAGCCTGAGCAAGAGCGAGACCCCATCTCTACTATAAATAGAAAAATTAATTGGCCAACTAATCTATATAGAAAAAATTAGCCGGGCATGGTGGCGCATGCCTGTAGTCCCTGCTACTCGGGAGGCTGAGGCAGGAGGATTGCTTGAGCCCAGGAGTTGGAGGTTGCTGTGAGCTAAGCTGATGCCACAGCACTCACTCTAGCCTGGGCAACAAAGCGAGACTCTGTCTCTCTCTCTCTCACTCACACACACACACACACACACACACACACACACACACAAAACCCAAACATCTGGGACTGGTGTAATGCACAGGTGACTGGCAGAAAGTCTGGAAACTCCAGGTAAAGAACTCATCCATCCCTGATGAACAGAGTGAATGTGGCTGCATCAGGCACTCATTTGTGTCTAAATTGCCTCCTCTTTAAAGAAGGAGCAAAAACAGCTGTCTTTTCTGCCTTAGACAGTTGATACAAGTATCGTACTCTGTACAGATGACAGGCAATGTTACTACTGTTCATTCTTCCCACAGACATTTATGGAGTGCTCTATGCCAGGTACATGGCTCAGTGTTTGCAATACAGAGATCAAGAGAGTGGAACCCTACGCAGGGTGTGGAGCTTGTGTTCTAGTTTGGTCTAGTTAGAGATCTAGTCACAGCAGTAAAAATTGAAATACAACGAGGTGACCGACAGAGGAGGACAGTGGGTTCTTCTCGCATGTGGGTAGTGGGGGATGAGAAAGGGCTTCTAGGGAAGGTGACTCCTGAGCTGAGTCTCAGAGTAATTATCCAGGCAGGGGGTGCTGGAAATGTAACAAGCAGGTACGTGATGGAGCAGAGTAGCAATGGGCAGGGTCAGGGCACTGAGCGCAGGGGAGGTGGTGGTTACAGAGGGTTGGAAATTGGCTCTGGGTAGAACTTGTCCAGTGCAGATTTTGTTGTAGCTCATTTTAGATAAGGTCTCCAGGAGAACAGGGAAGGAAAGCCTGTTTTTTCTCTGTGCTTACGTTAGATCACAAACATGTAGGCACATTAAATAGTCCCTAGGGAGGCTGAGGCAGGAGGATCGCTTGAGCCCAGGAGTTTGAGGTTGCTGTGAGCTAGGCTGACGCCACGGCACTCACTCTAGCCTGGGCAACAAAGCGAGACTCTGTCTCAAAAAAAAAAAAAAAAAAAAAAATAGCCCCTAGGCATTTTTTTTCAAGATGACATAATTAACCTGTCATGCACATTGCAACACAGAATATGTGACTTCTTCGGCCTAGATTCCTGGAAATACACAACTTTTTAATAATCTGTGCTGCTCCATCATTAAAAAGTGGGGGTCATGGGAAATGTTTTGTCAGTTTGGAAATGGAGGGGGAGAAAAGGCAGCGAAAGTCCTTTGCAGATTTTCCTCCTTGCTGCTCATAAGAGAACCTATACTTGTGAACAGCAGTATCTGGACGTTTATGTAGAATTTTTAGGTCTTTGAATATGTGTTGCATTTTCTTCTCTCCTTTGAGAGAAGGAATATTTAGCTTTTTGAAAAGTAGTTAAATCCTAATTTGTAAAGTGAAGCTCGACAGTAGCAGTGTGCCGGTTTGTGTCTGCCATCTGCGGGCAGACACGGTTGCATTTCTTCTGACCAGGTGGAATGATATTGGGAATATCACTCACAACAAGTCAGCCATTCTCGTGGAGCTCGTCAACAAGGAAGAGACTGCCCTCTTTCACACGGTAAGCAACATGGGCGGCAGGTGGGGCCAACAAGCAGCTCACTGTCGGGCTTTTCAGCTCGTGTCCTTTTCTTGCTGTCCATATCTTGAGAGAATCAATATTCTGTTGAAGAAATACTTTTGCGTATTTGCCCGATGCTGTCATTACTCGTTTCGGGATAGCAGTGGTGAAATACCACGTTCAAAACACCAGGTTTCCAAGCTGACTTTTGACGCTGAACTTTGCATGTCTCCCAGCCGCCTTGTGTGGGATGGGTCATGTTGTCTGGCGTGCCGTGTTCCTCTGCGCTCTGCTTACAGCCCTCATCGCGTAGCCCCTGAGTCTGTTGCACTGCCTCTGCTTCTGCTGGCTGACCTGCATTTTCTTCCCCACCGCAGCCCAAGCTTAATCTGAAGGCAGCTGGGTGACTGACCTTCTGTTGACTGCCTCCCCCAGCGCCAAGGCCATTCGTGCATCTCAGCGCCTCCAATTTAATGATGTCTGCTGTTTATCCTACGCTCTGCCTTGATTCAGTTGTTTATTTTTAAAGCACTTGATCTGGAATTATGTACAGGCACGCCAGTTCATCGGTGTAACCCCAGCACTTTGGACATTGAAGGGTTCCTTAGCAGACAGCATTTTCTGCCATTCTTTGGTAGACTTCGTAGGCATGGCTGTTGCTGCCATTCGGCAGGTTGGTTTGCTTGCTGGCCCAGGGTGTCACTTTTGTGCTTGAGAGACGAAGGGAGGAAGGGACTTGTCCCCCAGCTCAGAGGAATCTTAATGATATGTACATGTAGTCAAACAAGTGTTCATTTTATTTCTCTGTCTCTTCTTTTTAAGGATGACATCGAAAATGCCAAGTACATCTCCCGACTGTTTGTCACACGGCACAAGTTTTACAAACAAAACAAAATCTGCACGGAGTGAGTAAACATTTAGTCCACCCTCTCAACTACATGGCTTTGTCAGATGACATGCACATGCTCTAGGCATGTCGTATAGATGCCTGTATCCGTTCACTCTTTTTCCTTGTTCCTCGTAGAGGCTAAAGGAAGTAACCTTAAACCTGGGCAGGAATGAAAGAACTTTAATGATGAAGACTGTCTAGCGTGTAGTCCGTGCGCCTAGAGGGAAAATGACTCACAAATTGACTGCGTGTGCTCGACTGCCTGGGTGGGTTGGGCGGCGTTAGTGCCTTTCCAAGCCTCTGCTATGAGTTTGGAGGAGCTGAGCGGTTCCCAATTTGCCAGGGTGCCCCTTCGTGTCAGGTGCGGAGCGTGTTCAGAAGCGGGTGACGGAGTGACGAGCCAACTTGAAAGGGAAGGAGCTCCTGTCATCCTCAGCCCCGTTCGGCTCACACAGTTGGCTAACCCTGTGTGCGCTCTTGGGTCAGGTCCCCTGACTGCAGATGAGAGGCCAGGGTAATTAGAGGCCGATTTGGAAGAGACCCTCATAGAAGTCACAGATCCGTGTGTATTTTTTTTTTTAATTTAATTTGGAAATAAAGAGTGATAAAGGGGAGTGTGATGAGGGCGCTTCAACGAGGCCTGACCTCAGATGCAGCGTGCTGGGGCTCAGTCTCCCGTGGGTTCTTTGCCTCGGTTGCCTTCAAAAGGCATTCCCGAGCGGAGTGCGTTCAGCCGTTTGGGCGCCCAATGTGTCTAATTTTGTTTCAAAGAGCTCCGGGCTTGTAAATGCAAGAGAAGGAACTGCCTTTCCACTCCCACCGTGGACCCATGCAAGAGTATGCAGAGTATTGTCCTAGAGCAGTTCCCGCTGAAGAACGCGGCTGCTTTGTACCCGGAGCCCCAGGTCATGGCAGACTTTTTTCCTCCAAGCTCTTTCAAACCAGTCGCTGCAATTAGTCACTGTCAGGGCCTGAACGTCTAACTCACAGTATTCGTTCTACCAGCAAAGTTTGCAAATATAAATCAGAGAGGAAAGGTTGAGCAAGGAGTGGCACGGTAGGCAGCCGTATCTTTCTTCTAGATTATTCTCTCGTGCAACCCCACGCGCCATTCTTTCGAGCAGATTCCCTATAGGTTGTGTACGTGCAGTTCTGCTCCGCTGTTGCTTTTGACTTGTGGGGGTGTCTTTGACGTTAGCAAGAATTCTATAGTAGGGTGGCTAAAAATCTGTTGTGGGGCGAATAAAAAAAACTGTTGGAGAAGAGCCATTTCTCAGCCGGTGGTTTTACTGTAAAACTTACTGAGTGTTTATATTTCTCTTGTCTTTTCTTCCCATATGAGTGAGAACATCACATATGAGACTGAAATTTAAGAAGAAATTGTTTTTCATTTCTGTTTCTATCATAACCATTCCTTTCTTCTTCCTAACACGGTATGAGAGGTTTCTAGCTTCTTATCTGATTAAAACTTGGGGCACACTCTCTAAAAATACACAAACACACACACACAGACTCTCACACTCACATTCACTCTTCTGTACAGTTTCAGAGGCTCAGCACTATGTTAAGACCTGCATATTCTTCTAGAACCTTACAAAACTAGCATTACCCTACCAGCGCCCTTCTCTGGAGGGCTTTACTCTCTGGCCTCTAAAAGACCATCACTAGGTTTTCTGCTCCTGCAGAGCTACCCTTTGTCATCAGGAGGTTTAGCCCCAGGGAGTGGTTCCTGGACTTCTTGACATAGGACCAAAAATGGGGGGAGTGTGTTTAACATACATCTGAAAGATTGTATATTTAGCCAATCATTTTAAAAATCCAACATAACTATATTATCTCCATCATTTCATGAAAGAAAAGGTATCACCAAAAATGTAAGAAGGATGAAATCTCAGATTATGGAGAGTCCTTTAAGTTGAAGAGCTTTAGTTTGATGAAAAGTTTATATGGTCCTGGTTTTGGGGAAGAGGAGTTTGTTTTTTTAATTGATGACACTGAGAACTAGGGAAAACATTATTATGGCATTTGGGAACCATTGCTGAAAAGCAACTTTGATTTCAGTTCTTGAGAATTCGATAATACTTCTAGTTGATTTTTACCTCCACAGTAAAAAGAAAAAAATCTATGTTCTCAGTCTGGAAAGCATCTGATCAGATAAATATTTGTAAAATATATTAATCAAAAGTATCTTTACATGGTCAAACTCAAATATTTTATCTATTTTGGATTTTCATTGGACTGGAAGCATTTTAAAAATGTTTTTTTTTGCATTTTTTTAATTATGAAAGATTTTACACATACACAAGAGTACAATATTTAAAAATTCATGTAAAGGTGATATTTTTCAGTCTTGCTTATTTCCCTCCTAATCCTTCTAAGAAATAAGCCTTACTCTTTTAATATTACTTTGTGAAACCTATTATAAAATTATTATATTTTCCAAACATTTTGAAAAGAAAAAGAAAAAGAAAGGAAATCAAAGTTGTTCTTAGCATCACCATCCAGAAGTAAGCAATGTTTATGTTTGGTGTAAGTCTTAACCAGTCTTGTTTATTTTCCTCTCCTCTCTCTCCCTTGTCTATCTGGTCTTTTTGTATCTGATGAATAACAATGACCATTCTCATTATTTCAACTTTTCATGTAGACAGTCAAATTCTCCACCCCCCATCAGACGCCAGCCCACCTGGAGCCGGTCCTCTCTGGTATGTATAGAATCTTCAGCCATCAGGTGGTCTGACTGTTGAGAATTCTTTGTTATTAATTTGAGAGGAGAGATGACTTAGGGCAATCATGACCAGGTGAGATCTTGAGAGAGAACACAGAAGAACATCGTTCTGCCAAGCAGGTGTTCTGCCACCCATTTTGTCCCCTTGTTTCTTATACCCACCCACGTCCATCATGACTCTAACCACGGCTTAAGGTTTACCCCTTTATTCCAGGCCAACGAGACCATGGTCCTTCAGCATACGTACAACCTGTGCTTTGTTTTTATCCACTTGCTCCTCTGTTCTGGTTGTTGTGTGAAGGTGTGTCTTCAGTTATAAGCTCCACAAATTCTTTTGTATTCACTGCCATAGATAGAGCTTAATAAACTAGTCAGAAGATGCTTTTTAAATGAGCAAAAGTCGAATGAGTCTAGTTGGTGGTCTCAGCTAGAGTATCCAATGGGGAAAATCAATGCACATTTTCTAAATTTTAAGGCTTTAATTAGTCAACAAGATTTTAATTGGCCCCACTTTTCTACCTAGCCTTAGCTGCTGCTGTTTTTGTTAACTGTTGTCCTCATTGTGTGAATAAGGCAACACAGTTCTAATATCAATACATATGTTCTATCTTTAGCTATGTTTTCTTTTGAGGATTACTCAGGATAATATAGTAGAAAGATGTGAAGAGTTGGTTTCCTTTAAAGTTTTAGCTCATAGTTCTGCTTGTCTTAGCTCATAGTTCTTTACACAAAATCAAAGCAGACATATGATTTTTAAATTTTTCTTGATGAACATTTCCTTCAAGTTGATAGAATACAACTGAATTTTTCTTCATATACAATGTATGCCCTATAGCTATGGTTGGTTCCCAATGCCCAGGCTGCGGCCAGGCACCAGTCCCTGGCCTGTTAGGAACCGGGCCATGCATCACTGCCTGAGTTCTCTCCCACTCCAATCCGTGGAAAAATTGTCTTCCATAAAACCAGTCCCTGGTGCCAAAAAGACTGGGGACCACCGCCCCATAGCATGCCTTTAGCTTGTCTTTTAAAAGAAAACTTTTGAGAAATTTTTTTTTTTTTCTGGAAAATACATAGACATGGACTCCTAGAATTCTTGAGTTGAGCCATTACATTATCATATAATATGATTCCTGAGGTGTCCATGCGATTATTGTTACTCTCAATATGATGCATAATATTTCCCACGTGGCCCTTTGCCCTGGCTTTCCCTCAGAACGCCGGTAGATTTGTTCATGGTGCTGGTTTCTTTATTTTTCCCCATTATTAGTATTATCTTCCCTTTCCTTGTTTTAGGGTCAGACTGTCTTGATTAGTGAGATACTTTGTCGTTTATGTCGATGAAACACCATGGCAAGCAAAATGTTTAAAGGCTCCCACGTGGTCTGGTCTTGTCCTGGTTACCTAAAGAAGATGCAGAGGCTTGCCTGTTTTATTTGGGTGAAGACAGTCTGCAGGAAACTTTCCTCTGTCCCCACCCTTTAGGTTTCACCTGTTTCACCCAGAGTTTTTTACGGTGAATGAGAGTAAGACCAGAGAACACTGCTTCTTGGCTTCCTTGCTGAGAAACAGGACTGCCTAGTGCTATTTTTCTCTTGCCTGCCTGCTGCCTGTATTATATGGCATCTATTATATAATTTGTTCCTGTATCAGCAAATCTGGAAAGAAATGGAATGGTATATTAGAATATACAAAAAAAATGAAATAAATAATATAATCCTGAAATGGTGTTCAGAGGGTTAGCTGTTACTGTCCTTTGCCTATACACTTATGCCAGTTCATAACTAGTCACTTATTAAGATTTCTTTTTTTTTTTAAGAAGAGCAAGAAAAGGCAGTAAACCAAATTTGCCTTGCCATGTATTTCTCTTCCCTTGTACAACTCCCTCCACACTATTTGTTTCTAAACCCTTAAAACTGGCTGTCCTGCTCTGGAAAAATTGAGTTGAATTATATATTGCCAAGAAAAGGAAAAATATTTTTAAATTGCAACTCAAAAATCAGGCAGAGGGAGACATGGGGATATTTAGAACTGATTTAGCACTTTTTCTTTGGTACCCTGAACTACTTTCTTAGATTAATTTCGATTCTTTATTTCTATTCTCTTGGTTCCTTTTAATTTGGGGATCCATTGCTTTTGGTGCCTTCTTTATTCGCCCTCTTGATGCCCAAGCATTGTTTGTAGCAGAGAAGATAAGTGAGTTATTTAAATATCAGAGATAAATATCTCTGGCTAGTGCTCTTTTTCTACTGAGGGATGCTGAGAAAGTCTGACCCCTGCTGGTTTTCAGTTTCTTGGTTTGATCTCAGTTGCTTCTCTGGTAAAACAGTAACCTTTAAAATAATACCTGAAAGGCCAAGAGAAATATAAGAGATCGTGTTGTTTAGTGGCTTACAAACTTGAGGGTTTTTTTTTTCTTCCCACATCAAAACTTTTTCAAACAAACTCTTATCTGCAACCCCAATATAGAAATAAAATGGATAATGCTTGAGGTAGGGGCAGGGAGGAGTTTGGTTTGACGGGCAGGAAGCTGAGACCTACTGAGGTTTAAATAACTTGCTTTTTTTTTTTGAGACAGAGTCTCGCTTTGTTGCCCAGGCTAGAGTGAGTGCCGTGGCGTCAGCCTCGCTCACAGCAACCTCAAACTCCTGGGCTCGAGTGATCCTTCTGCCTCAGCCTCCCAGGTAGCTGGGACTACAGGCATGCGCCACCATGCCCGGCTAATTTTTTTATATATATATCAGTTGGCCAATTAATTTCTTTCTATTTATAGTAGAGACGGGGTCTCACTCTTGCTCAGGCTGGTTTCGAACTCCTGACCTTGAGCAATCCACCCACCTCGGCCTCCCAAGAGCTAGGATTACAGGTGTGAGCCACAGCGCCCGGCCAATAACTTGCTTTTTGATCACCTTGGTGAATTGTCATATTTCTTTTGTTCAAATATGTAATTCATCGAAGTATTTTTTTTTCCCCTCTAAAAGTTTTACTGTCTTCTGCAGCAGGAAGTTATTCGGGTTGGGGTGTAGATGGCCGAGTTTAGGAGACTAATGGAAAAGGCTCTGCCATGAGGGTGAAGGGGTAGATGGTTGAACTTGACTCTCTGCCAGAGCCTTTCCAGTGGGGTGGGTCCATAAGTGGTCTGGAGAACCACACGCTCATTGAAGGTCACATTTTAGGTATTTATATTAGTTGCCACTGGGCCCAGCTTAACACTAGCTGCATTCCCATTTGAGGGTGATGTGGAGCCATGAACCTGGGTCGTAGGCACAGCTGCGCTGGTGGGTAGGAGCTGGTGAGTAGAATTTTGAGAAGAACAAAACACGTGTCCCCCTCACTCTCATTTCTTCGATGACTTATAATAATGTACCTGTTCTAAGTTATTCTTGTGAAGGAAGGCATAGAGACCTTTGCAGGTGTATTAGAACATAATGGATAACAGGATTCAGTCTTTTGATTCTTTCTGATTTTATTTTAATTTTTTTTGAGGCAGAGTCTCACTCTGTTGCCCAGGCTAGAGTGAGTGCCGTGGCATCAGCCTAGCTCACAGCAACCTCAAACTCCTGGGCTCGAGTAATCCTCCTGCCTCAGCCTCCCGAGTAGCTGGGACTATAGGCATGTACCACCATGCCTGGCTAATTTTTTCTATATATTTTTAGTTGGCCAATTAATATCTTTCTATTTTTAGTAGAGACGGGGATCTCGCTCTTGCTCAGGCTGGTTTTCGAACTCCTGACCTTGAGCCATCCACCCGCCTCGGCTTCCCAGAGTGCTAGGATTACAAGTGTGAGCCACCACGCCTGGCCGGATTCTTTCTGCTCTTGACCCAACTGCATTTCCTCCTTGTCGTTTCTTTCAGCCCCAAATTTAGCAATGAGCTGAGGGTATAGATGTGTAGGAGAGGGGTGGGTCGGAGGGGTGGCAGGGAGGGCGGCTGCCCCCTGCCTCCCTGGTGCTATGGTGGTGGGGACTGCCATGGGCTCCGGCTGGCTCTCTGGGTGAGTAACAGGCGTCTCTGCCCAGGCCACCCCACTTCTACTGTGTTTTCTGTTTCAGCCCCGGCAGCAGCCGTACATCCTGCCGCCCGTGCACGTCCAGTGCGGTGAGCACTACTCGGAAACGCACACCTCCCAAGGTAACTGGCTCGCCATCCTCCCTTCTTAAGACAAAAAGGTGAATGCCAGGGAGCAGTAAGGAGGGCTTTTTTTTTTTTTTTTTAAAGATGACAGTAATGCTTTCATTCTAACTTTGTCATTGTCTGAATGACAGTAGCCAGCAGCTTTGATTTGTGAAAGGCCTCAAGTGTTGGTTACCATTAGGAGGAAAATGTCCCCAGAGTTGGCTGCTCAGGGAGTCGGGGCCAAGGCAGAGCAAGCACGTTCTTTCTCCTCCCTTTCGTAAGTAAGCATAGAGGAGAGGGTGACAACACAGCCCAGATGAATGCACTTCACTTTCGTGGCCGCTGTCATAAAGCTTATAAGCAGGTCAGTGAGTTTTTCATGGGGACAGTGAATACAGGCATCCAGAAAAAAATGGGAGAAATGCACAACCTCAGCCTCTTTTAGCTGGTTTTCTCACCTCTCCCTCCAGTCCCTTTCTCAGTACTCTTGCATGTTGCTTACAAAGGAAATCTCTTGTGTTCCTCTTTCTCTCCCGTAACATCTCCCATGCAAAATGTGTGCAAAAGCCCATTCCAATAGTAATAACAATGACCGTGATGACAGTGAACGTTGATAGAGTAATTGTGATACTGTTCTAAGTACTCACTGTATATCGTCTCATTTAATCCTCAAAATAAACCTATGGGTACTACTGTTACTGTTTTCTATTTTGCATATATAGAAACTGGGATACAGAGAGGTTAATCATGGCGCTTGGATATGAAAATCAGTATCTCTTAGTCATTTTATACTAACTGAATCTCAAAAAAAACGAGATGATAGAAAACCTTGGATGTTGACAATATATTAAGTAGAGAATTAGTTTCTGTGTTATCAATTCCTGGCTATTTTGGGACCTCTGTGTTATAAAAGTATGAGCATGAAAACTAAGACAATCAAGACCATTTAATTTAATGAAATAGTACTTTTTATAAACAGAGTAGCAAAGTCACCCTCCTTCTATGGGAAGGCAGCAAACCCCATGAAAGGTGGATAAATTGCAAAGCGTTCATCTCTCTGTTCTAGTTTTTTTTTGCCTATCTCATCTGATCAGATCTTTGTCCACACTCTTCCTTTTCAGGCAGTTGAATATTTTCAGTCACCTTTTCTGTTTTTCTCCTTTTCTGACTTTGTCTTCCTCTGCTTTGCCCAGCTTAAATCTATAGCGTGAAAATGAATATACCGTGTTTCCTTGAAAATAAGACAGAGTCTTATATTTATTTTTCCTCAAGAAGACACCCTAGGGCTTATTTTCAGGGCATGCATTATTTGTTTTAAGTACAGTACAACAGTCTACATTTATTCAAGTCATCTTCTTCTGGAACATCATCATACCTCTCCAAACCCAGAATTCCATCCTGAATTTCTTGTGACTCTATTTCCTGTAGAACCATTGGCCCCAATCTCTCATGTGGAGCAATAGAGCTCTCATGGGGTGGATGAGAAGGGCTGCTTGTCTTCTTTCCTGCTCCGGGACGAAATGCATGGGTTGTTCAGTTGTGCTGCGTAGCCATGCCCACCACTAGGTCTTATTATCAGGGTAGGGCTTCTATTGCGCAAATGCTTAGAAATCCTGCTAGGGCTTACTTTATGGGTAGGTCTTATTTTTGGGGAAACATGGTATTTTGGCCACAGAAAAGTGTTTTGGCAAAAAGTTTCCTTCCTCAGGGCAGGTGTATTTGTGTTTTAAAGGAGCGCTGGACACCTAGACTAGGCCTGACTTTATAAATCTACTGTTTATCTCTCTCGGTACTTCTTTAAACCATAATTAATTTTTACTTGAATTGACCTCAATGATGAAACCAGATCTAAAGGAGGATTTCAGAAATGGCCAAAAAGAACTCTTGATTCTAATTTTGCCGTTCATTGTTTGCTGCTCAGAACGAGCTAGGCATGCCGACGTCCCGGCTGCATCATTTGTCCTGTTTCTTTTTTTTTTTTTGAGACAGAGTCTCACTGTGTTGTCCAGGTCAGAGTGCCGTGGCGTCAGCCTAGCTCACAGCAACCTCAAACTCCTGGGCTCAGGCTATCCTCCTGCCTCAGCCTCCCCAGTAGCTGGGACTACAGGCATGCGCCACCATGCCTGGTTAATTTTTTCTATATATATTTTTACTTGGCCAATTAATTTCTTTCTATTTTTGGTAGAGACAGGGTCTTGCTCTTGTTCAGGCTGGTTTCAAACTCCTGACCTTGAGCGATCCTCCTGCCTCAGCCTCCCAGAGTGCTAGGATTACAGGCATGAGCCACTGCGCCCAGCCCTGCCCTGTTTCTTTACAAATGCTCAGCGCTCCCTCGGGTGAAAGGACCTCTTCCACTGTTATCAGGAAGAGCAGCTCCGAGTGCTCAGTACTTTAAATCCGTCGCTCTATTAAAGTTCTTGACTTCCTGGCCCAAATATCCAGTCTCCTTGCTGAACCCCGCACAGAAATCCAGGTCTCCCCAGCACGAGAGGGCCAGTATTGGTGTCTGACTTCAAATCTCGTGGCAAAATCGAGAACCTACCCAGGCGACACGTGACTGACTCCACGTGTGCATTCCTTTCTTTGTCTTGGTTTCCTTTTGCTTTTCAGTCTGCTTTACCGTGTTCTTCCTGTGTACTGCCATCTCCCCCGAGATAGTCACGGCTTTTCTGTGGAACACATGGGTGGAGACTAGGAGGGTTTCACTTTTTGTGGCTTTATTTAAATTAAAAATCAAACTCGTGAGCGTGAGGACGAACTTCATCGGGGCGGGATGGCTTGGAGGCTCACGTGCCTTTGTTTGACTTCCCACCGTGCCTTTGTTTGACTTCCCGTAGACAGCATTTTCCACGGGAACGAGGAAGCCTTGTATTGCAACTCCCACAACAGCCTGGACTTGAACTACGTGAACGGCACGGTCACCAACGGCAGCGTGTGCAGCGTCCACAGCGTCAACTCCCTGAGCTGCTCGCAGAGCTTCCTGCAGGCCTCCCCCGTGTCCTCCAACCTCAGCATCCCCGGGAGCGACATCATGCGGGCCGACTACATCCCCAGCCACCGGCACAGCGCCATCATCGTGCCCTCCTACAGGCCCACGCCCGACTACGAGACGGTGATGCGGCAGATGAAGAGGGGGGTGGTGCACGCGGACAGCCAGAGCCAGTCCCTGCGGAACCTCAACATCCTCAACACGCACGCCTACAACCAGCCGGGGGAGCTGGTGTACAGCCAGCCCGAGATGCGGGAGAGACACCCCTACACCGGCCCCTACGGGCCGCAGGGAGGCTACGGCGGCAAACCGGTCAGCCCCTCCGACCACGCAAACCCCAAGAGCGCCGCGGCGCCCAGCAGGCCGGGGGCCAGTGCCATCTCGCACACGGTGAGCACCCCGGAGCTGGCCAACATGCAGCTGCAAGGCGGCCACCCCTACAGCACGGCCCACATGCTCAAGAACTATCTGTTCAGGCCGCCGCCGCCCTACCCACGGCCGCGCCCTGCCACCAGCACGCCGGACCTGGCCAGCCACCGCCACAAGTACGCCAGCGGCAGTAGCCCGGACCTGGTGACGCGCAAGGTGCAGCTGTCGGTGAAGACCTTCCAGGAGGACAGCTCCCCCGTGGTGCACCAGTCCCTCCAGGAGGTGAGCGAGCCGCTCACGGCCACCAAGCACCACGGCGCGGCCCACAAGCGCCACAGCCTGGAGGTGATGAGCAGCATGGTGCGCGGCATGGAGGCCATGACGCTCAAGTCCCTCCACCTGCCCATGGCGCGCCGCGGCACGCTGCGGGGGCACGGCCTGCCGCCCGAGGAGGGCCCCGGCGGCCACGAGGCGCCCCCGCCGCCCCAGTATCACCACAAGAAGACCTTCTCCGACGCCACCATGCTGATCCACAGCAGCGAGAGCGAGGAGGAGGAGGAGGCGGCGGCGGCCCCCGAGGCGGCGGCCCGGGTCCCCGCGCTGCGCGACAAGGCGGAGTACAGCGCCCAGCTGCAGGCAGCCTTGGCGCGCATCCCCAACAAGCCCCCGCCCGAGTACCCCGGCCCCAGGAAGAGCGTGAGCAACGGGGCGCTCCGGCAGGACCAGCCCAGCCTGCCCCCCGCCGTGGCCAGGGCCCGGGGGCTGCGGCACGGGCCGGCCAAGGCCACCGGCGCGCCACGCGCCGACCCGCCCGCCGTCAATGGGGCCACGCTCGGCCCGTCCATCTCCGAGCCCGACCTGACCAGCGTGAAGGAGCGGGTCAAAAAGGAGCCGGTGAAGGAGAGACCCGTGTCCGAGATGTTCTCCCTGGAGGACAGCATCATAGAGAGGGAGATGATGATTAGGGTGAGTGTCCCCTCGTCCTGGGGGTTTCTGGTGTGAAAGAAAGCTCACGTGCTTTAGGCACTGAGCAAGGCTTATTCAGGGCATGTGGTAGGTGTTTAGAGGATTCCTGGGCATTTAAACAGGTGGTATTTTATTTCACAGAATGTTGGTTTTTACCCTGTCAGATAAATCTGTCATTCTTGTTCGTGGCTGCGAATAGGTATACTTGGTGTGGTGGTGAGGTCATGCCTCAGCCTGCATTTCGCTGTTTATTCACGGCTGAAACTCCCAATTGTGTGAGCTGCTAGGAGTTCGCCTCCCTGCATCTCTTAGCGTTTTGTTTTCTTCGGGGAAAGCTTTCCCCCTCCCCATTAGATATTAAAAGAGCAATATCCCTGTGCAGCTTTCTGTTTAGATCCAAATGTCAAGATAGTTGGCCAGTATTGTCTGGACTGGGGTATGTCTAGCTTTAGTTTCAGATTTTCTTTCAATAGATGTGTAACACAAATGCAAGAAAATGATAGCCATTGGATTTGTAACTCAAAAAGTTTACCACTGAGCTTTAATTCCTGTTGAATTTATTCTATCAGAAATTTACACACATGTATATACACATGCATATGCATACATGCATGCTTATTGCTATATTTGAAGGTACATCCTAACGTGAGACATGAGTAACCCATCTTCAGCATTGTCCCCAGCAGGGTACAGTGGCACATGACTGTAGTCCCAGCTACCTGGGAGGCTGAGGCAGGAGGATACTTCAGGCCAGGAGTTTAAGTGTGTAGTGTGCTATGATCATGCCTGTGATTAGCCACTGCACTCCAACCTGGGCAACATAGTGAGACCCTGTCTCTTAAAAAAAGAAAAAGCAATCTGGAGGGGGGGGCAGTTATGTCATTAGAGTGAGGCTGTGCAGGTAAGAAGAGATGTACCTATAGAGCAACAAAGCAAATCTGTCTTTTACCAATTAGAAAGTTGTTGGATTGTTGCAACTTTTTAAAATCTCCATTGCTAATTTCCTGGAAATTTTCACTGCCTTAAAAAAAAATCATTTAATTACAGCTAATCAAATGCAGATTGACTTCTTCTTCATTCACAACAGCTGTACCATAAGGTAGCCGGGCCTTATTTTAGGAACTCCAAGACAGTCATAACATTTGCCTTGATGGGGTTCATTAGCCCCCCTTCACGCATAGGTCTTCCTCACCTCATTGGGAATCAGCCTGGAAAGAACAGTGGAGGCCACAGTTAAGCAAGCCAAGTTCCTGGGTTCAGAAATCCAATCTGTAGCAACTTTGTTGCTTTTGAAAAACCTTGAGTACATTCTCCATTCTCAGCCTCATAGTTTTGGCTGTCCTCAACCGTTTTAGTTCAGGAAAGCGTTAAGAGTTTTTATATAGACGTGACTACTTTTTGCACTCCTAAAGGGAAATTATGAAAGATGTACCTGCGCCTCTAGCAAAGAAAGCCCTTGGCTGGGATGGAGGGAAACGTGTGGGTGGACGCTGCTGGGGGAGAGCTTTCCCAGTGTGGAAAAATGTCATTCATCGGTAGAAAAGGATTTTTCAACACTTCTTGGCCCCAGGCCTCTTAAAAGCAACATATTAGCATCAAGAACCTATCAGTCTAAGCATTCAGCTTAGCTGTTTCCTCTGCCAACTTGATTCTTAATGATTTCCACATGGTCCCAGAGCCCCGTTTGGGTCATAGTCATCCCTCTTGTTACCCATCGGAAACAAACAGCCCATGGGCAAAGTCATGGCACTGGTCCCTACTTACAGCTCCTTGAATTATCACAGAAGAGCAAGGGTGCTTTCGCTGTTGTTTTCTTTGCATATGCTATTCCTTTTCATCCATGTGGATAGTAGTGGCTAGCAAATTTTATCCATTAGCTTTGTGTTTTTTTTGAGACAGAGTCTCACTTTGTTGCCCAGGCTAGCGTGAGTGCCATGGCGTCAGCCTAGCTCACAGCAACCTCAATCTCCTGGGCTCAAGCAATCCTGCTGCCTCAACCTCCCGAGTAGCTGGCACTACAGGCATGTGCCACCATGCCTGGGTAATTTTTTCTATATATATTAGCTGGCCAATTAATTTCTTTCTATTTATAGTAGAGACGGGGGTCTCACTCTTGCTCAGGTTGGTTTTGAACTCCTGAACTCAAGCGATCCGCACACCTCGGCCTCCCAGAGAGCTAGGATTACAGGCGTGAGCCACTGCGCCCGGCCGTCCATTAGCTTTTAGTTCAGGAAAGTAATTTCTATTTCATTTTCCATTTCTATTTCCATTTCTATTTCCATTTCTATTTCATTTTCCCCATAATTTTTTTCCCCAAATCCCATATATATATATATATATACATACATACATACACACACATATATATATACATATACACACACACACACTCAGGAGCTTAAGGACAAGAGCAGACCCTAGAGGAAGATGAGGAGGTTCTTTGGTGAGCCAGAGGGCCAGGGCCATTGCAAGATGGTGACAGGGCCAGTGGCTCTGAGCTCAGGATGACACTCTGACTCAGCCCGTGGTCTAAGCAGCATCCCCATGTCTCAGATACTTCTCTGCTCTCCTCACCGTGGCCACCGTTTGTGGAGTGACGGGCATGGATGAGGGGACGGCCATCCTGGGGCCCTCTAGAAACCTTCCCTCTGAGAAGGTTTACCTCTTCGTAATTTGTAGCCTTACCTCTTCATAATTTGTAGCCACTTGTCTGTTGGTTGGATGATTGTGGCCCTACTGCCTTTATGGTTCCTCCTTCCGGCTCCTGCTGCTGCCTTGAAGACACTGCACTGCTTGTAGCCCCCTCACCAGAAGTCAGATGCAGTGAGGAGAAAAAGCCAGATCAGATTTTCGAGTCATTAGTTTTTTTATCTGTGGTAACAAAAAGCTAATAGGGTGAGTGAGAAGAAGCTGAGAGACATAGTTTGAATTATCACTGGGTTTCACTGTTCGCTGAGTAGGCAATAATCCTACAAGTTAGATTGTTTTTGTCTCAGGCCCAGTGAGGGCCACCTTGCAGTGTAGGTGGAAAGAAAGCAGACACTGTCAAAAGGGACCCAGGACCATTTTCCCAGAGTTACTGCCTCCCTTCAGAGAGGAGGGAAATAGAGTCCCAACTAAAAAAGGAAGGGAGTCTCTCTCACAAAAAGTATAAGCCAACAAACAAATAAAAATCAAAAATTTAAATCCAGACCTCCACCCCTCACTGTAATACCTGGAATTGAGAAACCAAGGCCATTGAGAGTATTACACCTTTTGCCTACAAGTCCATGAGCAGTTTTCTTACTTTGAGCCTCTCCTTTGGTTTGTGCGATGGGTTAGCCCTGTCATTGGAACAAACCTCCTATTGGCAGCGTCACTCACTAAGGCCCCATGCTGATTGTAGGGGACACTGTGGTGACCATGAGACCCATGGAAGGGTGTAGCCCAGCCCCCTCCTCCACAGTTAGAATAATCCGCTAACCGTGTGTGATGGCTGCCTCAGGACTTCTTCCTGGGGGGTAAATTTATAAATTATATTGCCTTAAAAAGAAACCCAGGGTAAGATGTCCCCTTCATTTGTGGCAGTCAAATGAATCTGCAAATTGGTTGCACTTCAGTTTGGGTCAAAATGTTACACTCTGTAAAACTCATGTCTTTCTATGGTTTTGGAAGTCCCTCTGTTCTTCCCTTAATGTCTAAGATGAAATTGTTTTTAGGAAATGTCCGTGGCTTGCCCGAAGTGAGTAGACAGAAGCGTGTTTCATACCGCATTCAGATTCGGGGAGTTGAGGCAGCGTGGCAGTAGGATGCCGGCCAGCCCCAACTGACCTGGTCTCAGGGGATAGGGCAGATAGAGAGGGTGGAAATAAAAAGCCACAAGCTAGGGCCAGGTGTCAACATCCAAACCTTTCCAGCCATTCTCAGTGCCTCATGCCTGTAATCCTAGCACTCCGGGAGGCTGAGGCAGGCGGATCACTCAAGGTCAGGAGTTCGAAACCAGACCTTTCCCTAAGTGGTCTGCTCAGCCCCCAAATCCGTGCCCCCCTATAGCTCAGTCCAGCGTTGTCCTACTGCTGTCATTGGCATCCGAGATGTCCTGATTTGGGGTCCTCTGGGTCAAGCGTAAAGAGTAACGCCTGGGAGATCCTCTTGGACGACCCCAGCCAGGCTTTGGTGTTAGCGAGTTCACTCAACCACATCGGCTGCCTTTCCGGAGATGATACACCTAGGTACACCGAGGACCAGAGAGTAAATACAGGATTCACATCCTCAGTCTTAGCTCCTCGGGATAGAAACTTAGGAAAATTTTTCTCTGCAGTGTATGTGTCCGGATCTCTCAATCAACACCACCTGTGGGCCGAGCGCAGTGGCTCACGCCTGTAATCCTAGCACTCTGGGAGGCGGAAAGGTGGGCGGATTGCTCGAGGTCAGGAGTTCGAGACCAGCCTGAGCAAGAGCGAGACCCCGTCTCTACCAAAAATAGAAAGAAATTAATTGGCCACATAACATATATATAGAAAAAATTAGCCGGGCATGGTGGCGCATGCCTGTAGTCCCAGCTACTCGGGAGGCTGAGGCAGGAGGATTGCATGAGCCCAGGAGTTTGAGGTTGCTGTGAGCTAGGCTGACGCCACGGCACTCACTCTAACCTGGGCAACAAAGTGAGACTCTGTCTCAAAAAAAAATTTAAAAAAAAACCAAAAACCACGACCTGTGTTGTGTGTTGTGTTGATCTCTCAGTCAACACAAACTGTTTTGCAAGTTTTGCACCATGGACCTTGCAGAAAGGTCCATCAACTGTGATGGGATGAGATGGTTCCTGTAACCGTTTCTCTTGTCCTTGTCACCATCTTCCTTCAGCCCTTAGCTTGCTAAACTGCATTGCATGTAATTTTTTATTATTATTTTTTTGAGCCCTATGGCGAAGTGTATTTGTAGGAAGTCTTTTTTTTTCTTATTTATTTACCTATCTAGCTAATGAATGAATTAATTAAAAGTAAAAGCTCAGGAGTCCTGTAGGAACTGGCTCGCACGGGTACAGTGGGAATACCGGGAAGGCTGTGTTTGAATTTGTGCCCCGCTTAGGGTGATTGTCTGCATTCTTTGGCTGGGGAGTTGCAGGTTTGGGGAGATTAAAACACATTCCAACATTCTCCTGGCATTATAAACAATGAAGAACGTGCCTTTTCTTGCCACAAGAATCTAGAGAAGCAGAAGATGGCAGGCCTGGAGGTGCAGAAGAGGCCGCTGATGTTGGCGGCGTTGAATGGGCTCTCGGTGGCTCGGGTCTCGGGGCGAGAAGAGAGTCGTGTTGATGCCACACGCGTTCCCATGGACGACAGGGTGAGTGCTAAACTTGTCAAGCGTGATTCATTCTCTGTGGTCTCAGCATCCCAAAGCAGCCCTCCTTGCCCAAACATGCCAGCACTAAGGTTTGTTGCATGCATCGATTCTTCAATTTGAGGTTAGAAAGATCTGGTCCATGTTATATTTAATTCATCCTTTCCAACATCTAATGTTTCTTCATTTTCGTCTTCCCACTTTGTCAAGTTGGTGGGATTGTTGCTTGCTTAAAACAACCAGCCCCTGACAAGCCAGATGGGTCGGTCAAGTCACTCGATTTCTTTGGGCCTGCCCATTTCTTTCTTTCTTTCTTTTTTTTTTTTTGCAAGTTTAAAGGAGGAAGTTAAACAACTGCTGTAGCTCTCAATTTCTATGATTTTTGTGAACACTTACCACTTCTTACAGAATATTTTTATCCATGCATTTATAGAGTTCTCCTAATATGCATTCCCCTTATATGGCCGTAAAATGTGACTGATTCATAATTATTAGGAGAACACATTGTGAGACCTTTGGTTTTAAAAAGCAGAAAGAGTTGCATGGTAATGTTTTAGAGGTGAAGAAAGGTGTTCCGTTAGTTTCTGAAATTGCTGTCGGAAGGTCAATGAATAGGTTGTATAAAACTAAGAGAGTGGTAATGACTTTAGGGTGTCCCATTTCTGCTGGTCTGTATCTAGTATTAGAAGGTTTTTAGAGCCAGAAGGGAATTTAGAGGGATCATTTAATCCAATTAATACCATATTATTGTAATTAGTGGTTTGGCCAAAAAGGGGGGAATGTGAGGGGGGATTTCATCCTCAGAGCTGTAGAACTGGGGATCAGTTATCATCTTAACGTTTAGCTCAGTAAAAACAGCTATGTATATGGAGAAAATGATGTTTGGATAATTAACAGTCTCCTTATCATTAGGACTTTAAACAGAGGCGTTAATAGCAAAAATATTGATTTTTTTTGTAATATAAACTCCTGCCAGTTCTTAAAGATTTGTTCTACTTATAGTATGAGTGAGAAGGAAAATGGTTACCAGTTAAGAGACATTAGCGATATGGTTAATGATGAGCCCACATAATCAAGTATTGCTTGTACATCCTGGAACCCCTACAGTGATAATATTATCACTGTAAATATGTAAAGAAATCTGGTCGTTTCATTGGAGTTTTGGGATAACATACCTCAGATAGCTGAAGGTCAATTTCTGCTGCAGTTCAGAACCCTGAAGAAGAAGCTAGAAGAGGGAATGGTGTTCACGGAATATGAGCAAATCCCAAAGAAAAAGGCGAATGGCATTTTCAGCACCGCAGCTCTGCCCGAAAACTCCGAGCGCAGCCGGATCCGAGAAGTTGTCCCCTACGAGGAGAACCGGGTGGAGCTGATACCAACCAAAGAAAATAACACAGGATACATTAATGCCTCCCATATCAAGGTAAGAAGGCGAGCATGTCGGAAGGTTGCTGGGTTGAAGGTAAAAATGCAGGGAGAAAACAGTGTATGGGCTGCCACTGTGCCCTCTTGGCCGGTCCCCAGACCCTCAGGGGATGTTTTTGAACCCCTGTGCTTTTCTTATTGGAGTAGAAGGGCTTGTCTATCACTGCAGAGAGAAGGAAGTCTAGCAGCCTCAGGAAAAACCTCAGCTCAGCGTTTTCTGAAGTTTGCTCATTTCACAGGCTTTAACTTTTTCTTCTCTGTGGGCTACAACTCTCCCTTAAACTCACGGGAGAAACAAGAATTGTCTTTTTCAGTTTGTAATTAGCAGGTGACAAGACTTTGGAAGTCACAGGTGTTATATATTACAGTCGTTGAAGTTTTTTTTATCATGTTCAATAGCAACAGAGACTGTAGTTTCTCCCTGGTAATACTACGGGCTATGCAGTTTGCAGCTGAAGCCCCAAGTTTGCGTGATATTTACAAGAGTTGCTATAATTTACCCTGAAACTATAAACTGAGACTACAAGATTTGCCACGTTAGGCGATGAATTCGTATGGTTAAGTTTTTGTTAATATTTCAGATACTTCAGACCTTCAGATCTCAGTATTTCTTAGCTCTTCCCAGTTAAAATGTAGTTATGGAAACATGTGTACATACAGTTCAGTGTTTCCTAAATAGCTTACCCTCTTCAGTGTCCCTAAGAACAGAACATCCATGTTTAGAATGTCACCATTTGCTTCGAACTCTGAAGTGGGAGCATTTCTTCATATACTAATGTTAAAGCAATTGTCACAGGAAGTTTTTATTTATTTTTTTTTAATTAAAATTTTTTTTTTTTTTTGAGACAGAGTCTCACTTGTTGCCCAGGCTAGAGTGAGTGCCGTGGTGTCAGCCTAGCTCACAGCAACCTCAGTCTCCTGGGCTCAAGCAATCCTCCTGCCTCAGCCCTTCAAAGTAGCTGGGACTATAGGCATGCGCCACCATGCCTGGCTAATTTTTTTTTGTATATATATTTTTTAGTTGGTCAGTTAATTTCTTTCTATTTTTAGTAGAGACGGCGTCTCGCTCAGGCTGGTTTTGAACTCCTGATCTCGAGCAATCAGCCTGCCTCGGCCTCCCAGAGTGCTAGGATTACAGGCGTGAGCCACCGCGCCTGGCCAGGAAGTTTTTAAATAAGACAAGTTTCAGGCCAGGCGCTATGGCTCACGCCTGTAATCCTAGCTCTTGGGAGGCCGAGGCGGGCGGATTGCTCAAGGTCAGGAGTTCAAAACCAGCCTGAGCAAGAGCGAGACCCCGTCTCTACTATAAATAGAAATTAATTGGCCAACTGATATATATATAAAAAATTAGCTGGGCATGGTGGCGCATGCCTGTAGTCCCAGCTACCCGGGAGGCTGAGGCAGAAGGATCACTCGAGCCCAGGAGTTTGAGGTTGCTGTGAGCTAGGCTGACGCCACGGCACTCACTCTAGCCTGGGCAACAAAGCGAGACTCTGTCTCAAAAAAAAAAAAAAAAGACAAGTTTCACATTGATAGTCCATTGTGATCAGTAGCCTTAGAAACCTGTTTCTGGCCTGGTCCAGAATTATTTTCTTTGCTCACTGGAAATAGGAAAGAAACTGTAGCAGAATTATTAGTATATTCCTTTGAGCAGCCCCTGCAGTATAGTTAGGTATCTAGGCTTGGGTATCGGTTAAAACCAATTTTGATACAGAATATGAGAAGGATACCATGGTTGGGCATAGTGTGTTTGTACACAGAGCATAGATAACCATATATATTTATATTTTAATCATTAGAAAGTACTGCCAAAAGAAATAGGAAAGAACAACCACGATAGATCATACTGCTCATTTTTACTCTTATTTTTGAGAGTGAGAACTAAAGCAAGAAACGAACCCCAGGAAACTCTTGAGTAAACTGGCGATGGTGTTTCTCGTAGGCTTTGTTTAGGTGATTAAATAATGACCAAAATAATGTAGTCCAATAAAGATGCCGATCCCACAGCTGCTGCTTGATAGAGCGTCTCTGGAAATCTTACATAGCAGTGTTATGCTATCTTCTTCTTTTGGCCGAGTCTCCTCCACCATTTTCCATCTGCTCTCCGGAAAAAGCTGTCACTCTGCGTAAACGGTGCCCACTGGGTATTGTTAAGCCAGAGGCATTCCCTTCCTGAATATTCTCTGAGGCCCACATTTTATCCTGTGGATCCGGGTTAGACATGGGTGCATTTAATAGACCCATAGAGCTTGCGAGAACTTGTCCTTGTGTTTTTGGAATAGAGCCGTATATTTTGCCAATGTTTTCCTCCCGGGTTCCAAGCAGCTGTTAACAGAGAACAGAGATTTATTTGCTCCAGAGGTGGAATCACATCTGTGAAATCTACCTCAGTAGCGCTGGTTGTTGTGTTTTAATGCCTTTTTTAATGCCCTCCTGTCAATACTTGGAATTTGCTGGAAGGCCCCAGGCAACAGCATTCTCTGGAAGTATTTATGGTTCCTATATGTTGGGTGCCAGAGAGGCTAATGTCTAAAATCACAATTCCACGGATAAACCAAACTCCTAGCCAGCAAATGTATGAATGTTATCTCCCACCAGTACTTGGAAAATGGATTTTTCTCGCCAGCTTTGACCTAAACATGTCTCGTGTAATGAGACAATAACTGACATTGTTTTGAATCAAGTTAGTGTATATAGTTCCATAAAATAAATGAGGGAAAAAAAGTTTCAAACAATGATCACTTCATTGCTCCTAGAACTCTCTAGAGATCTGCATTGCACGGTTGTGTAAGGGGCCTGACTTTGCAATATCAAGGCAAGTATAGGAAGGAGAAGAGAAAGAATTCCTCCAAAGGCCACCGTTTCACCTTGATAGCATGACCTTCAGCACTTTGGGTACAACTTCTTCTCTATGATTCTCTGCTGCTATAATTTATAGCTACAGAATTATCCTCCTGAGGCCGGGTGCAGTGGCTCACGCCTGTAATCCTAGCTCTCTGGGAGGCCGAGGCGGGCAGATTGCTCAAGGTCAGGAGTTCAAAACCAGCCTGAGCAAGAGTGAGACCCCGTCTCTACCAAAGATAGAAAGAAATTAATTGACCAACTAAAAATACATATAGAAAAAATTAGCCAGGTATGGTGGCATATACCTGTAGTCCCAGCTACTCGGGAGGCTTAGGCAGGAGGATTGCTTGAGCCCAGGAGTTTGAGGTTGCTGTGAGCTGGGCTGATGCCACGGCACTCTAGCCTGGGCAACAGAGTAAGACTCTGTCTCAAAAAAAAAAAAAAAGAATTATCCTCCCGCGATCACCCTGAGCTATGTGGAGTACTGGTTTTATTATCCAAAATCATCTCATGACTCCGTAGTTCAGTTGGGTGCTGTGGGTAGTGTACAAGTTGAAGTTATTGATAAAATATCATGTACTATTGATATGTGCATTCATAACATCTCTGCCGAAGGTGGCACCACAGAGTAGCAATGACAGGGGAGGTTTATGACATTTTATATCAGGTCAGCAGGAGCAAGATACTGCTCCAAAGAGGATGTTTATCCATGGTGGATTTTTTTACTGTTGCCATGGAGCACTGTTTTCAAAGTATAAATCACAACACAGCGATGGAGTGTGAAATCAATTTAGTGGTCATGACCACTTGTGTATGTGTGTATGTTTTAATGAAATAGACTAGAATAGAGAAAAGAATGGAAAGTATCAAAGGGCGTTGCACATAGTAAGCATAACTACTATTTTTGTAACAAATCTTAAGTATACGTGTACATGTTCATTTAATATTGTGCATGTGTATATATATGCATATACACATGTATTTTAATGCATATGAGTTTGCACATACTATGAGTTGCAGACAAGAAAAAAAGATCGGGTAAATGTTTTAATAGGATTAAATGGCAAAAAGTGTTTTCAAGTGATAATATGTCACTAGCCATCTACAGTCTCAGGGGTTTTCTTAATTGCACTAACCCATTTGGCCCCCAAAATACTATCCAAGGTTTTCAGATAGATGCAAATGGAGGTGCAGTCAGCAGGTAATTGTGTGTCTTGGACTTGGGGTTCATTTACCGATGCTTTGCTTGGTTTCCAGGTGGTGGTTGGTGGGGCAGAATGGCACTACATAGCCACCCAGGGGCCCCTGCCGCACACGTGCCACGACTTCTGGCAGATGGTGTGGGAGCAGGGAGTGAACGTGATCGCCATGGTCACCGCAGAAGAGGTAAGGGGAACCGCCCACTCAGCGTCCTTTTCCCGGGGTTAAAGGTGACCGGAAGATGGGCTTTGTGTTGGCAACTTTGTAGCCTCATCCTCCTTCCTTCGGTGCTGTTTCTCGAAAATCTTTCTCTTGGATGCAGTGCTGGTTCTCTTCTCATTTCAGGTAGGTTTCCCCCGCCACCCCCCCCCAGAATACATTTATTGTTGTGCCTTTTTCTCCTCCCGTTTTCATCTGGCTTTTAACTCTTTTCCTTGGATCTCCATGCACTCAAATGAAAACAGAACAACACACAACCAAACTTTAGTGCAGCCGGCTGACTTTGCATGCCAAACAAAACAGTGATCTTTCCACCGGAATTTGAGAAGCTCAGACTGCTCCGGGTGAGTCGACGCAGATCCTCAACCCTGGGCACGCAAGTTCCACATGCCACCGTGCTTATCAGCTGAAAAGGGACCAGGAGCTGTTGTTCCTGGAGAGACCTTTTATTCTTTGGGGAAGAGAAAAAAAATACATCTTTTTCTTCTTTTGCCAAACCAAACACAGTTTTTCTGTTGTAACTGGAGAACTCTACGTGGCGTTATAAAAACTGGCACAGAGCTCCATTCAGCTTCTGAGCTTCCTGTCTTTGGGGGGAAGAATTATTGTTGTTTCTTCTCTTGTTGCATTCTCAAAATGTTTTTTAACCACCTGCTTTTTGTTCCTTTCATTCAATTCCAGCTTATGTTTTAAAGTCATTTAAGGCACCAGCTTCATGTGTTTTGCCAATGTCCATGGTATTGTAGTCCCCCTTTCCTAACTGGTAAAGGGGTTGGGAACAGAGTTAATTGGGGGAAGAATCATATTCCCTTCACGACTGTGCTGAGCAGTTGATCTTTCCAGAACAGTCCCTTAGAAGACAGAGGCAAAAGGGACTTGAAGCTCTTTAAAGGCAGTTGCATTTCCCTGGGCTGACCTTTTGTTTGACCTTCCCCAAACAAGGAGAATAAATCCTCCTTTAAAGCCCCTCGATTTATAGATTTATCACCTTATCTGCATCACATGATTGCCAAGGGCTTCCTTCAACTAAATGCAGTGTGCCATCCATGCTAACCTCAGGGACATGTGGTGAAGGAGACAGGCACTGTCCCTGTCCCCATGACACTTACATCCTCGTGGGAGGGACCGTAAAAGGTGAACACATAAAATAATTTCAGATAGCAGTTAAGTGCCACGGAGGAAACAGAGCAAGGTGACAGGAAAGAGAATGGCGGGGTTGGAGTGGGGGGCTACTTTAGATTGGGTGACAGTCGAGGCCCTCTGAGGAGGTGGCATTTGAGGCGAGACCCGAGTGAGAAGAAGGGGCCAGCCTTGTCCAGACAAAGTAGAGTCTAGTGACCTGTGGGTCAGGCAGGGACTTGGAATCTCTTAAACTCCATAGCCGACTTAGACACTCAGCAGGAATGTAAATCCAGACCCTCGGGTAAAGCCACTTTTGCAGGATTGGTAAAGAAATGCACAGGTGTGCTTCAAACTTAAAGAAACCCAATGAAGCCAATAAATCTGGGCACGATGATTTGTATTCCCCCAAAACACATTGCTTTCCAAATGGGCTGGCCTTTAGGGTTCCCAGGGCGTGTCCCCACCACCACGGGTCTGCATGCGCGGTGTTCCTTCTCTCTCCCCCCACGTGCTCCTCCCCGCACCCACATCCTCCACACTCGCCCCCTCCACTCCTGTGACTCCAAAACTGTGCAGAAGGTGAACATAGACATTTTGTAAATGGTTGAGGGCATGCATAGCCTCGGAAAAGATTATAAAATTCAGGGAGAAAGAATGGTTCTATAACCAGATGTTCTGGTTTGGTTGTGGGTTGAACTGAAAAAAATTGGTCAGGCTGAAAAAGGTGAGAGTGGCATTAGATGATAGAGGCGGTGTCGGTATTCAGTGTGTTATACGAGGGGCTCTGGGCTGAGCGTCAGAAAGGACAGGCGTGGCCTAGAATGATTATCAGCATCTGTTGCCCTCTGGCTTAAAAGCTATGGCTTGCTTCCATTGTCCATGGAGTGAAATCCAAACTCCCTACCACGGACTGGGAGGCCTTCCCGACCTCCTCTCCTACCTAAGCTGCCCCTTCATGTGCCAAATTTCAGCCACCCTGAAGACATTTATTTGTTCCTTGAAGGCACCAAGCTTGTTCCTGCCTATGGACTTTGCACTTGCTCTTCCTTCTGATATTGAATTGCACCTCAGTAGTGAATCTTTTACATTTTCCCCCGATGTAGCTTTTATTGTAAATCTTACGATTGATCTCAGCTAAAATGTGTAGGATCTACCCCGTGATAGACACTGCACAGTGCTACTGGGTTTTAGTGATTTTAGAAGCTATTTGTGTTTTCTTCTGTCTCCAGATTTTAGGATTAAGAAGATGAGAGCTTCTTCCCCCCGACTTATTTCCCGTTTTGCTTTTGTGTGTGCTTTAGGAGGGCGGACGAACCAAAAGCCACCGATACTGGCCCAAACTGGGTTCCAAGCACAGCTCGGCCACCTACGGCAAGTTCAAGGTCACCACAAAGTTCCGAACAGATTCTGGTTGCTATGCAACCACAGGCTTAAAGGTCAAGCACCTTTTGTCTGGTCAGGAAAGAACGGTGTGGCATTTGCAATATACCGACTGGCCAGATCATGGCTGCCCAGAAGATGTCCAAGGATTTCTGTGTAAGTGTTTTCTTCCCAGCCTGTGTTTTGCCAGATTACATTTTACCAACTGCATTAACTTTCGGTCCATTGGAGATGAAATGAAAAGAGAAGATGGTGTCTCTTAAGTGGCAAAAGTATTATAACATTGAAGTATATGTCTCTTTGTTACTATGTAGAACAGAGAAGACTAATAATACGTGTCACTTTTTATATTCTGTATAACTTTTATGCAAATAAGCTAAGACTGTGATAAACTAATTGGTTCTGCCTTTAGCTACTCATTTAATCAGTGACTATACTGACACTTGCTACCATATAGATGGACCTTGAGGACATATGCTGAATGAAATAATCTGGTCACAAAAGGACAAATATTATGTGATTCCACTGATACGAGGTACCTAGAACAGGCAAATTCAGAGAGGCAGAAGTAGATGAGACGTTACCAGGGGCTAACATGGCAATGGGGAGTTACTGTTAATGGGTACAACAGTACCAACGATGTTTCTATTTGGGAAAATGAAAAAGTTTTGGACATGGATAGTAGTGATGGTAGTGCAGCATTCTGAGTATACTTAATGCCACTGAACTATATACTTAAAAATGGTTAAAATGGTAAATTTTATGTCATGTGTTCTGTTACAATAATTTTTAAAATGTAGAAACATAACATTTAAAAATAACTTATTTTTTCAATTTCTCGTGAAAGTTTACAACTCACAGGGCCTGTATTTCCCTATAGCGGTAAATCTCAGCACTCTCTCATACCTTCAATTAAGATAACTAAGAATTATTGAAATCAACTTACAGTTTTTGAAACTGAAATGTACTCAAAAGACTATTCCATTAGTTGATATAGATATATTTTCACATTATTTTTTTTTTTT